CCAGCGCCCCTCTGCCAGCCCCTCCCGCCCTGCTCCCCACAATAAACTCGCCTGCAATCTATTCCTGCCTCTCGTGGCCTCTTTTACAAGTCAGGATGGGTCCGTGGATGGGGGAGATGCAGGAGTGGGAGGGGAAATGGTGTTAGAGGGATGGATCAGGAGAAATGGGAAATGGAATGGCAAGGGGAAATTAAAAGAGAAGTGCTCTGGGGCTGGTTGACAACGCGGGGATTTGTCCTGGCTTAGACTCAGTGATGTTGGAGGTGTTTTTCTGCTTCCTGGGGTTCTCAGGTGGCTCGTGGAATGTGCCACAGGAAAGTTTCCTTTCCCCGCACTCAGCAGGCTCTGCCCCGGCCCATGATGGTCACTGTTAATTCTGCTCACACCAGTTCACCCACCCTGTTTTTCCAGTCTGAATCTCTGATTCCCTCCTGCTCAGCGCCACTCAGCTTTCTGTTATCAGGGCTCCCAGAAGATGTGCCAATGCCAGGAACGCTAATGAATAATCAGAGGTTTTTCTGGACGGATCCTTGAGTAATTAATGGAGTAAACTCCCTCCACCCCTTAACTCCCGTGTAGACACTGAGAGAAATGCCGGCCCTCTGCTGGATTTTGCAATCAGACGTGAGCTCACTCCTAGCCGGCATCCAGCCCAAGTTAAAGCTGTGTAATCGTTGTTCCCTAAGTGTTAATGGCTCTCTCCAGGGCTGTTATCTTGGGCTGAGCGCTTGTCTGACACAACACTTAATTAGGCTGGTACCTGCCTGGCACTGCCTCGCTCACAGGACCGGGTGAAATTTGGCTGTCGCAGCTCAGGTATTCGGCTGGGCTCGTGGAGGCTGTGGGTGGAAGCAAAGATTAGAAGAGGGTTCAGGTTGGGCATAGGAATTTCCTCCTGGAAAGGGCTCAGGAAAGTTTGGAATTCCCTTGAGATGTCCAAGGAATTCCCCGATGTTGGGATGGGTGACCAGGTGGGGATCAGGCACAGCTCGGACCACCTCAAAGGTCTTTTCCAACCGGAACAATTCTGCAATTCTTTTGGTAAAAATATTCTCAGGTAAGTGTTTGTTTGCCCGCAAAAATGAAGTGTTGTTTTCTGAAAATAAACGCAGCCTTTCACGGGTACCTTGGGCTAATTTTCGTTTCAGTTTATTACGTATGGCCATCTGACAGATCCAGTCCCATATGAGGAGGAATACTGAAATAACCTGTGAAAAGTAAAATTAGCTGTTCCTTGCCACTGATCAAGACTTTTTTTTTTTTAAAAAAAGTCCCTGTGAAGGAAGAGGTAAATCCTCTCTAATGCATCAATTCATGTTCTTTTTACCTCACCTGCTGACAGGTTCAGCCAAACCTTCCCTGCGGCAACTTTATCATGGCAGTGATTAATGAAAAAAGAGAGGGTAGTGCCTCATCTTTTCTCATTAGATACCAATCTCAAAAATTGTTTCCCTTTGTTCGTCTTCCTCCTATCATTCCTTTTCAGAGCAGAACTTCAGGCAGTATTTTTTAGCTTTGTCTTTGAGGGCAGTTGGATGATTCCAACATCGCCAGGAAGATTTAAAATTCAAAGGAATCCCAGCACTAAATTAACCACTTTAAAGAAAGAACCATGGAATATCCTGGGTTGGAAGGGCCACACAGGGATTGAGTCCAACTCCTGGCCCGGCACAGGCACCCCAAGAATCCCACCCTGTGTCTGACAGCATTGGTAATGTGACTGTTCCCCGTTCCAGTGCCAAACTGGATGGAAACAATTGGAATAACTACTGGAAGTATGACAGCTGGAATAATTATTGTAAGGGCAGAGAGAACTCTCAGCTGCAGCTCTGACCAAAAACATCTCAGCCCGGTTCTGATGGGAGGGGAGAGGAATCCACTCTGGGGCTTAACAGGAAAAACAAAGGCAGGTGTTGGATGCAGGATTTTTTTTATTGCAAGGGCAGGGAAGGCCCCACTGGACGAGGACAAGCGAGGCAGGGACAGGCAGGTTGTCCCTCACGAGAGCTGCTCGTTCAGCCTTGTGGCAGGAGGCAGCAGTTTCAGGGAGATGGTGGAGTTTCAGGGTGGGATGGTGGAGCCGCACATTCGGCCACTGGAAGGGGCGCGGAAGAGGAGACGGAACGAAGGAAGGAGGAAACGAAAAGGATGAGGGGTTCTGACTCCACGGTGTGAAGCCTGATGCTCTGCCCCTTCCTCAGGAGCTCACGTGAGGATCCAACAGTGTTTGCTGAGTCGAGGGATTTCCCCTTGGGGTTTAGCAGGAGCTGCAGCTGCCACGGCCATAGCGGCCGTAGCGGCCGGACCAAGAGCCAAAGGATCTCCCGAAGCCAGACAGGCCCCGGAACCCCCCGTAGCCCCCCAGACCCCCATAGCCCAGGGATCCGTAGCCCCCGTATCCACAGAGACCCACATATCCTCCAGATCCATAACCGCCATATCCTCCAGAGCCAAATCCCCCATATCCCAGGGATCCAAATCCTCCGTATCCCAGGGATCCATAACCACCATATCCCAGGGATCCATAACCACCATAGCCCAGGGATCCATAACCCCCATAGCCCCCATATCCATAACCCCCGTAGCCCAGGGACCCATAGCCCCCATAGCCCAGGGAGGAGCCCCCAGAGGCTCCAAGGAACGGTGCTCCAGCAGATCCCACCACGGAATCCTGCGGGAAGGAGCTGAGGATGGGCCCGGGGAAGGTGACCACCACGGCGGGAGGCTGGATCACGGCGGTGGAGTCGGGGCACTGGCGCACACACGGCTCGTTCCCGCTGTCAGCCAGGGGCTGGGGACGGATGAGGCCGGAGCCAGCGGTGGAGCACAGGTCATTGCAGGACATTTTGCAGGGATTGGAGGTCGAGCTACAAGAGTTGAGCAAGTGCAAGATGTTACTTAGCAGCAGAAAAGAGCTCTGGAGTTGGCTGCCTTTCCCCAGACAGGAGAGCTTTGAAGCACCGGAATTTCCCCAGGTCTATTAAAGAACTAAATGGAATAAGAGCAGCCAAAGTTATTTTCTCGAGCACTTTGGTGAGTCAGGGGATCAACAAGGATGGGACTCTGCTCCAAGAGTCGAGTGTGTTGTTATTCAGGATCTCATGACTCTGGCTCTTCATTGCTACTGATCTCCTTTGTGCTGATCCTTGTCAGAACAGGGATTACAACTCCTTGTCTGCTCAGATTCCCTTCTTGGATGAGACCATCACAAGGGAATTGCAAAAATGATTGTCCCAAATCTCTAAACATTCAATCAGGGCTTTGAGATCCCTACAATGAGCTGAACACCCCGGAATTTTGATTTGGGCTCCCAAATCTTTCGAAAAATTCTCACACCAAACCACTTGCCCGCATTAACTCGGAAAAAACCCAGCGCTTCACATGAGCCTAAATTCCTCCTTAAATTCCTTAAATTCCCTCCAGGATCCCTTCTAATCTTAAATAAATCTCTTAAAGAGTGTTTTAAACAGTTCTCAATTCTTCTTTTTGTCCTATTCCAAGCCAGTACCTGGTCTCTTGGGGAGTTCATGCCCATTTATATTGAATTAAAAGCATTTTGGGCGATTTGTAATAGAACAAACTAATCTAATGGCAGGTTTGCCTCCAAACTCAACATCTCCCTGCGAACCAGAGAGATTTAAATTTTCCAAACAACTTTCAGTCACCCATTTAACCGAACAGAGGATAGGAATAAACACCGAACCTGTCACATCATGGATACCAACGGGTGGAGGCAACCCAATATCCAACAGAATTTTCTGGTAAGAAACTTTCAGCTTGGTTTGGGACCAAACACCAACCCAGAAAGCAGAGAGAGGTACCAAAAGCAGCAAAAAAAGCGGTTCCAAAAGCAGAAAAGAGCAGCTCTAGACTTACCAAGTCGTCGGGAAGAACGAGTGAAGGGAAGACGTTTGGGACAACCCCAAGAGGAGACAGCTTTTATACAGTTCTGACTTTGCCTGAGGGCTCAGAGGAGCTCATTAGTTGACACAGAACATTTTTTTGGTATTGATTGCTTCTCAAAATGATGAAATTGTTGTTCTTTCTGTTTGGGTTTATTCTTGATCTCAATTATGGCGTTACGTCACACGAGGCACTTTGATCTGAAACGCTGATGGGTGAAATTAGTGCATCTTTCATCCCAAAACGTGATTCATGAATTAGTACCAGTTTTCTGGAGTGGCACCATGTGCTGAGCTGTTTATACACAAATATTCTTCTCCTGTATCATAAGACAAATACGTTTGGGCAGGTACAGAAGTTATAAAAATCTTAGAATGGTTTGGGGACAAAAATATCCATAAAAATCTTATTTTTTCTCTGACCATTAAGCCACAGCTTAAACGCGAGTTTAGTTCTGAAGGGAGAGATATTTATGATTGTAAGAAATAGAATGGAAAGATCAAAATAATCGGAGCGTACGTTGAATTAATAATTGAATTCATGTTTTATTGAGCTGGCTTCATCTCTGGAAGTGTTCAGGGGCAGTTTGGATCAACCTGGGGTGGTGGAAGGTGTCCCTGTCCATGACAGGGGGTGACACAAGATGGTCTTTGGGGTCCCTCCCAACTTTAAACCATCCTTTGATTCTACATAGGAGAAATCCCGAATTTAGCTGTAGTGGAAATAAAACCCCTTTGTTTTTAGAGAGGATCTTGCAGCTAATCCCGTCCTTGAAGGCAACTTTCAGCACAGAGCAATTACGAGGTGAGAATCTGCTGGGAAAAGCAAATGCTGGATTTGCTGAGGTTTCTCTCTCTGTTTACACCACCATTGTTCTACTCTATCATTATCGTCGTTATCATAATCACCCACGTGGTTGCCTTCACACCACGTATTATTTGTAATTTATGAGCTTTTTCCGAATCTGGAGAGACATATGAGGATTCCCCGAGCCATTATCCTGGCCAGAAAAAAAAAATATAATAAAAAAAAAAATCCATGTCAAAGTTTTACAAGAACATTCCAAGGGATTTTCAAATACCTCCTTGAACACCCATTACTGACTCGTTCCTACTGTGTCAGAGCTATATAAAATCTGTGCCTGGGTGTAAACACCCCACAATTACAAGAGATTATCACACTAAAATGGATAAATTGAGGACACTGGGGTTTTTCCCACGATCAGCTCTTATGGTATTGACCTTTGTGTCTTTGACCTTAAGAATAAAATATTTTTTTTTTTTTTTTATTTAAAATTTTCATTTTATTTAGAACACAGAATGGTGTGTCTCTAACGTGTGAAAATAGGAGGGGAAACATGAGAATGGAAAGGAAAGCTCTTTAAAAAAAACTTAATTTCCATGGAATTGTGGCTGCCAGGTGAAATATTTCTGTTTCCAGGGGCTGAAATAGAACCAGGAGAGAGTTTAAAAAGAAACATGGGGCGAGACTTCTAAGTGTTGAACTGACAGGAAAAGAGGGAGCAGATTAAAATTGACAGAGGGGAGGTTTAGATGGGATTTTGGGATGGAGCTGTTCCCTGTGAGGGTGGGGAGGACCTGGCACAGGTGATTCCATGGATTCCCCGTCTCTGGAAGTGTCCAAGGCCAGGATGGATGAGGCTTGGAGCAACCTGGTGCGTGGAACGTGTCCCTGCCCACGTCAGGGGGTGCCTCTGGATGATCTCTAAGGTCTTTTTCAACCCAAACCACTCCATGACAGCATTTTGTGGTATAAAGTTCATTCAAAAGTGCTCCTGATTGTTGTGTTTGCCTGGCCTTGAGTAGGTGGAGGGAGAAATGCTGAACATGCAGAACCAATGTGTGGGTTTTTTTTATTTTCCCTTTGTTATTTGTCCCCAGTCCTCATTTGAACTCCTAAAAGAAATTCCATTCCGTGTCTGTTGTTGATCACACTCCAGGACCTTTACCTGGGCAAAACCATGAGTGTCCCTCAATCATCCTAATCACGGAGCACTCATAAATAAACCAAGTCAGTTTTATTTCCTCCCCTAACGCTAAGTAGATCAATGGCATCGTAAAAACATAATTCCCCCGACAAAGCCCGGAGACAATAGAGGTCTGGGGTGGAATGTGTGGGTTTAAAGTGCACCAGCAATAAGCAAAGACAATTTCAGCACTTTGGGGAATTATGTGTCCTGCAATTTGGGGTTGGGACCTAATTACATCAGGTGCCCGGTGCCCTCTGGGCAGGCAAGGAGCTCTATAAAAGGTGTCTCCACCAGGTCCTTCCATCCACTTCTCTCACCTGTTCTGCCTTCGTCAACCAGGTAAGTCGCTTTTCTCTCAAACTCCTCTAAACTGAGCTTTCTGTCAGGAAACCTGGTTGTGGTCAGGCTGCAGATGCTCTGCGGGATATTTGGTGTTTAATTTTTCCTTCGTTTCCAGATCTTGTAGGAGATTTGGTGCACTGAGTGGTATTGAACCCCAAACTTGTATTATTTTAGCGTTCCAAGGGGTTCCTTGTCTGTATTTTAGGAGATGAAGAATAACCTGTACATGTGGCTATATTCAACAAAGTTTTGTTGAGTTTGTGACAGGAAAGATAAAATCTGAGCAGAAATCATCAGCTAAGAGTAATTTAATAGTGAAGAAATTACCTGATTGGGAAATTCAAAGGTACAGCTGAAGAGTGCAGACTGTGTTGAAGTCAAGAGTAGTCTGGAGATGACAGTGATAGGAAAAACAGGAATAGGAAACACATTTCCTTCCCAGATTTATTACTGACACCCTTGGACTACTTCAGCACAGCCTAAAGTTTGCCATTCCTTTAAAATTAACATAAATTAACACCTTCTAGAGATTAACCACCAAGATGTCCTGCAATGACCTGTGCTCCACCGCTGGCTCCGGCCTCATCCGGCCCCAGCCCCTGGCTGACACCGGGAACGAGCCGTGTGTGCGCCAGTGCCCCGACTCCACCGCCGTGATCCAGCCTCCCGCCGTGGTGGTCACCTTCCCCGGGCCCATCCTCAGCTCCTTCCCGCAGGATTCCGTGGTGGGATCTGCTGGAGCACCGTTCCTTGGAGCCTCTGGGGGCTCCTCCCTGGGCTATGGGGGCTATGGGTCCGGGGGCTACGGGGGTTATGGATATGGGGGCTATGGGGGTTATGGATCCCTGGGACACGGAGGATTTGGATTTGGGGGATTTGGCTCTGGAGGATATGGCGGTTATGGATCTGGGGGATATGGGGGTCTCTGTGGATACGGGGGCTACGGATCCCTGGGCTATGGGGGTCTGGGGGGCTACGGGGGGTTCCGGGGCCTGTCTGGCTTCGGGAGATCCTTTGGCTCTTGGTCCGGCCGCTACGGCCGCGGCGGCTGCGGCTCCTGGTAAACCCCAGGGGGAAAATCCCGAGTGAGGTCTCGCCAACAGATGGAAAGCGATGGTTTCACAGGCAAAGAGCTTGGAACCGCCGCTGCTCCATCCCACGACCGCGGATTTGCAGCTCTTCAGCCCCTTTTGAATTTATCCTCTTTCAGCTTTTGCCTTAAAGCTACTCCCGCCCCGTTTCTGTGTTGCCTGGGGTAAATAAGGAACAAAAGGGCTCAAAATGGGTCCTGTTTGTTCACATCAGCAATTGGGATTTGGAAGAGAGGCCGAATCGATGACGTGTGAATGTGCCTCTGGCTGGGGAAGAGTTTCTTGCTTTCTTGGAGGCTCTGTAAACGCATTGCTTTGCTTGCTGTCATTAAAAGTTTATTGCATCAAAGTTGCCATGTTCTGGTGTTCTTCTCTCCCGTTTTCTCCATTGCTATTCGCCTTTGGAGAAGCCTCACCTGTGCAGGTGTCAGAAACAGCCTAAAATATCCTGGAATCATGGAATGGTTTGGGTTGGGAGGGATCTTAAAGCTCATCTCATCTCCACACCCTCAGGTTGCTCAGAGCTTCATCCAAAACTGTGGATGTCCCAAAAGTGTGGAGATGAATGTCCTGCCAAAAACAGCAGGGAAGATTAGATTTCAGTATGAATTTCTTCCAGGTAAAGCTTTCATCTCTTTGAGCTTCAGGCTCTGACTCAAAACATTTCCTCAGTCAAATATTTAAACTCTGTCCTCAATAATTTTGGCAAGAAGTTAAATCAATTTCCTGCCGAATCTTTAAATAAATTTTTTCAAAGTGGAACTTTGAAATCTGAAATATTTCTGTATAATCATGAAATGTAAAGTGTTGGATGGTTTTTGACAGAAAAATCAGCTCCTTCAAGGGTTCATTCACACTGGCAAGAAAAGTTAGAGCAGAGAGAACCTGGGAAAATGGTACCTGGAAAAATTAAAAGGTAGAAAATACCTTTTTTATGAAAAGTAACTTAAAATTACTAAAGGTAAGAACTCAAAGGTAGAAAAACAGGAGGATTCCTGCTCCCAAAATCTGGATGAAGGAAGAGTGACTGACTTCACCCCCAGCTGGGACACTCCAGGTGGATTTTAAGTCTGAACCTCAGCCTATTGTAAGGATATGAATTTCCCCCTGCTGTACAGAGAGAAGTGTTGCAAACCCAGGGCCAGAGGAATTAAAACTGAAACATCATTTGTTTTTTGCAGAACAGAATCACTTTAATGAGGAAAAAGCATTCACAGAAAAGCAGAATGGCAGAATATGAAGAATATCAGATTGCAGGCAGCTCCTTCCAGGCTTGCTCTTCTCCAGCTGGACGGTGAAGTTGCATTTTAGGAGAACACAAATTATTTGTTTGATCCCACATGCTGCGCACACAGGGATGGGAAGAGAAGCCCAGGAGATGACAAGCAGAAGGCGAATGAATCAAGGAGGAGTTGTGTGCTTCCAGCTCCACCCGTGTGGGGTGGCCGTGGTCACAACATCTCCTGTGGGGCCAGGATTGCGTCTCTCTCGGTTTATTCCGGTTATTCTGTACTCCAGGATGTTTCCCTAGGGTTTAGCAGGACCCCCAGAAGCCACGGCCGTAGCGCCCAAAGCCTCTGCCAGAGCCATACAGACCCCGGTACCCCCCATAGCCCCACAGACCCCCATAGCCCAGGGATCCATAGCCCCCGTATCCACAGAGACCCCCATATCCCCCAGATCCATAACCCCCATAGCCCAGGGATCCATAACCCCCATAGCCCCCATATCCATAACCCCCGTAGCCCAGGGACCCATAGCCCCCATAGCCCAGGGAGGCCCCAGAGGCTCCAAGGAACGGTGCTCCAGCAGATCCCACCACGGAATCCTGCGGGAAGGAGCTGAGGATGGGCCCGGGGAAGGTGACCACCACGGCGGGAGGCTGGATCACGGCGGTGGAGTCGGGGCACTGGCGCACACACGGCTCGTTCCCGGTGTCAGCCAGGGGCTGGGGACGGAAGACGCCGCAGGCAGAGGAGGGGTACAGGTCGTAGCAGGACATTTTGCAGGGATTGGAGGTCAGCACAGGCTGGAAAAGAAGACAAGGACTTCAAAACTCAGCAATTTCCATTAAAATATCAAGCAGAGTTTTCTGAGTGTTCCCCACTTCGCAATCTCAGTGCTGATTTTACCATTTCAAACTCCAGCACCAAATAGAAATAAAAGCATCACAACACAGTCCAATTATTAAGAGTCTTAGAACCCTTATGGATGATCCCAACCTTGACTAAAAGCAGCAGAAAAGAGAGACTGGAACTTTCTAAGAGGAGAGATCCCTTGGAATGGTGCTTACCTTTCTCAGGGAGGTGAATGGAGCGAGGAAGGCGAAGTGAAGAGCCCCGGGTTGGGAGAGCTTTTATACCATTCCCAAGATCCCGGAGATCATCCAAGGTGCAATTTGGGGATGTGCATAATTGGGGCAAACCCCTAATGAATGCGACACGTAGGTCCTCAAAGTTCTGCTGACTCTTTGTTTGTTTGCTGGTCCAAAGTCTCGTGAAACGCAATCGGTGTGTTTCGTCACAGAACCCTCCGGAATGTGACAAGTCACCTTCATTCCTGTTATCATTCCATTCACAGTCCGGGCGTTAGAGCAGGAATTATCCCAGTGCTCTTCCTGAGCTCCTCCATCATTAATGGCAAAACCTCGCTTGGGGTCACCCGATGTACAGAGCTTATTTTCATTAAAAAATGAAAAAAAAAGAAAAAAATCTGGGGATGAAATGATTTAGAGCAAATTTTGGGGTGGTCGTTTTTACCATGATCAGTTCTCAACTGTGTGAGAACAATATGGAACCCAAAGGAAGGCACGGAAAGCATCTGGTGGTCCTTGAATGGTTTTTGTTACAGAATATTGGAATTATTTGGGTTGGAAAAGCCCTCCAAGACCATCAAGTCCCGACTGATGACATTCCCTGTTTTCCTGTCCCTTGTCCCCTGGGAGCAGAGCCTGTGGTTGCCCCATCCATGGAACTGTTTTGAATAAAAAACGGCTCACGAAATTCCGAGTTTAATTCAGAATCTTTTATTTCAAATTCTTTTCCATTGGGGAAAAAACCCAAAGGGGCACAAACCCCCAGTGTTCGGCCTTGAACTGGTGATAGCAAGGACACAAATATCTTGACTGCGGTGTTTGAATGTGATGTCACTCCATAATTGTGAGGCACCTAAATCCAGCTCCGTGCCTTTAATCTACAGGATCATCTACAGGATTTGCATGGACTTGTTCCCTGGAAGCTTGAAAATATAATTGCCCAAAGCCCCCTGTCCCCCAAAGGCTGAGAACCCCACCTCACCATTTAGGGATCATCCGCGGCGTGGAGTCTGCAATATTAAAATGGCCCATCCATAAACGAGGCAAGAATGAGCCTTTGTGTCATGTGTCCCGAATTCCTGATTGTTCCCTCACCCCAGAAACTTCCAGCTCAGCCCTGTTTGGGATTTACCATTTGCGTATCACAGGAGGTCATGAATTCCTAAGAACCCGAGGCAATGATTCAAAGCGCTTCCGTCACATTTCCACTTTTGCACTGGAGATTCAATTTTTCCTAAAAAAAAAAATCCCACATTTCCTTCAATGTTCTCGGTCTTTGTCCACACAACTTCGGACCATCAACAGCTGGGAAAAGTCTCTTCAGGACCTCCAGCTGTGGCTTTAACTTTGTGAGTTCATTCCTCTTTTCTTTCCTAAACCCAAACAAGCCTCAGGAAGATAAAGGCTCCTCTCTGTCTCCTCCAGGGAACTCTCTGGGCTTGGCCAAAATTAAGGATTCCACAGTTTTTCCTGCTCAGGATTAAATTCCGGTGTAATTTGTGATTCCGATAAACCCATGAGCCACTGGGTTCAGTTAATACCAAGAGGAGCTGGCTTGGCGATTCCCGACGCAATTCCAAGGAAGCGACAGGAACAATGCCGGCTATCAAGCCGTCACAAGATGAAAGAATTCTCTGTAATCTCAGGTGATGTTTAGATCATGATTACAAACAAATTTGAAAGGCCTCATAAACGCCAATAATGAGCCCAACAATTTCATCACGCTGATGGTTGCGTGAGTTTGAAATTGGGGCGGGCAAGAGATGCTGATCTGGTACCTCCAGCTGATATAAAGCTCCTGTGCCTCCTCACTCCTCCAAACGCTTCCCTTGACTTCTCAGAGACTTGGGTAAGTCTGAATCTTCTCCATCTCGCTCTCGGTGTGTTTTTCATTGTTGGCTTCAACTCGAGTTGATGGCCAGCATCCTTTCTGTTGGGTGAATCTGCATGGGCTTGGGGAAGATCAAGGACCTTTCCGTCTCTGGGGTGGCAGGTACAACTTTTTGGGGTGTGGAGTTCTTGGTGTCAGGAGCACCAGACCTTGGAGTAAATTGGGCAAAGTCAACCGAGGTGACTGGATCCCCTTCCCTACAGAGCCAGGCTGGGAGAGCTGGGAATGTTCAGCCTGGAGGAGAGAAGGTTGTGTGGAGACCTCACAGCACCTTCCAGGATCTGAAGGGGCTCCAGGAAAATTGGAGAGGGATTTTTCCTCAGGAACTGCAGGGACAGGACACAGGGAATGGGGTCAGACTGACAGAGGGGAAATTTAGGTTGGATATTGGGAAGAAATATTTCCCTGTGAAGGCAAGGAGGCTTTTGCACTGGATATTCCATGGATTCTCCATCCCTGGGAGTGTCCAAAGTCAGCTGAGACGGGGCTTGGAGCAACCTGGGAGAGTGGGAGGTGTCCCTGACCTTTAAGGTCTCTTCCAACCCAGGCAATTCCAAGGTTCTCTGGCTTAGTTCTGAATAATCCTGCAAAGATCAGGGAGCTGGACTTGACTTCTGAGTCACTTCCAGCTTGAGGAAGCCTGTGATTCTCTGACCCTCACCTTGATACACTGAACCCATCTCAAAGTTTGCGTAGAAGGTTGGAGATCTGACAAATGTGCCACCCCTGCAGCCGTTTGTGTCCTGCTACCACAAATCCTCTCCTTCACCTTCTTGCTTTCAAGCTCCTCCTCAAAACTCTGTTAAGGATTTACAGAACATCGTTAGAGATTTGTTCTTTATTGTCTCGTCAAATGCCTTTCTGGGAAAGCCAGGCACTCACAATCCTATAATCTGTTGTTCTCTTGACTCTCAGCAAAATTGGGATGAGTGGGAAGATGAAGCTACTGTAATTAAGTTCTCTATAAGCTCCATCTCATGCAAACCTGCTGAACCCAAATCGGAGTTTTCCTAATGACTCATCCAGTGACCTTGGACAAAGTCACTTTGCTCTCGCTGCTTTTGCTTCCCGGTTTTCAGTTTTATGTGGAGAAATAAGTCATGGTTCCTTTCAGGATGTTACGAGGGACAAGGTTTTCAGAACATTTCCCACTTGCTCTTGTGTGCAGACACCCTTTATAGGATTTTTTGAAAAAAAACACTTTTTGGATAAAGAGAGAAATGAGATTGCAAAGTGGGGATCACTCAGAACACTCTACTTGTTATTTTAATGTAAATTGCTGAGTTTTGAAGTCCTTGTCTTCTTTTCCAGCCTGCGCCAACCTTTTAACCATTGAATTTCTGTTTTCTGCTCACTCCTCAGTGTCTGCTGACCTCCAATCCCTGCAAAATGTCCTGCTACGACCTGTACCCCTCCTCTGCCTGCGGCGTCATCCGTCCCCAGCCCCTGGCTGACACCGGGAACGAGCCGTGCGTGCGCCAGTGCCCCGACTCCACCGCCGTGATCCAGCCTCCCGCCGTGGTGGTCACCTTCCCCGGGCCCATCCTCAGCTCCTTCCCGCAGGATTCCGTGGTGGGATCTGCTGGAGCACCGTTCCTTGGAGCCTCTGGGGCCTCCCTGGGCTATGGGGGCTATGGGTCCCTGGGCTATGGGGGTTATGGATATGGGGGCTATGGGGGTTATGGATCCCTGGGCTATGGGGGTCTGTGGGGCTATGGGGGGTACCGGGGTCTGTATGGCTCTGGCAGAGGCTTTGGGCGCTACGGCCGTGGCTTCTGGGGGTCCTGCTAAACCCTAGGGAAACATCCTGGAGTACAGAATAACCGGAATAAACCGAGAGAGACGCAATCCTGGCCCCACAGGAGATGTTNCTCCGGGATCTTGGGAATGGTATAAAAGCTCTCCCAACCCGGGGCTCTTCACTTCGCCTTCCTCGCTCCATTCACCTCCCTGAGAAAGGTAAGCACCATTCCAAGGGATCTCTCCTCTTAGAAAGTTCCAGTCTCTCTTTTCTGCTGCTTTTAGTCAAGGTTGGGATCATCCATAAGGGTTCTAAGACTCTTAATAATTGGATTGTGTTGTGATGCTTTTATTTCTATTTGGTGCTGGAGTTTGAAATGGTAAAATCAGCACTGAGATTGCGAAGTGGGGAACACTCAGAAAACTCTGCTTGATATTTTAATGGAAATTGCTGAGTTTTGAAGTCCTTGTCTTCTTTTCCAGCCTGTGCTGACCTCCAATCCCTGCAAAATGTCCTGCTACGACCTGTACCCCTCCTCTGCCTGCGGCGTCTTCCGTCCCCAGCCCCTGGCTGACACCGGGAACGAGCCGTGTGTGCGCCAGTGCCCCGACTCCACCGCCGTGATCCAGCCTCCCGCCGTGGTGGTCACCTTCCCCGGGCCCATCCTCAGCTCCTTCCCGCAGGATTCCGTGGTGGGATCTGCTGGAGCACCGTTCCTTGGAGCCTCTGGGGCCTCCCTGGGCTATGGGGGCTATGGGTCCCTGGGCTATGGGGGTTATGGATATGGGGGCTATGGGGGTTATGGATCCCTGGGCTATGGGGGTTATGGATTTGGGGGATATGGGGGTCTCTGTGGATATGGGGGCTATGGATCCCTGGGCTATGGGGGTCTGTGGGGCTATGGGGGGTACCGGGGTCTGTATGGCTCTGGCAGAGGCTTTGGGCGCTACGGCCGCGGCTTTTGGGGGTCCTGCTAAACCCTACGGAAAACCATCTGGACGATGAAGAAGGGCAAAGCAAAATGCAGATTTTTCCTCCCTTTAAATAATTTCCCGATTACCTCTGTGGGTTTTAATTCCTCGTTATCTTCTTCTTTATCACCCCCGTGGCTGAATGCAGTGACAGACTGAGGTGTCTTTCAAGCTCTGCCTGCATTTACAGCCCCGATGTTGCCGTGTTGTTTGTGTTCCTTTCGTTCTCATTAAAACTCTGTTGCATCACTGAAAATCCTCGTGTTGGGCTTTTGTGTCCTCACCCACCCTGAGCTTGCCAACCTCGCTGGGTAAAGCTCCCTGCTCTGCATGAGGCTGCAAAAAGATTGAGCAAACCCTGCCCAGAGCGGGGAAGTCTCCACGCAGAGCCTTCCATGGGGCTGTTTCACCCACGAATCTCCGACTTCAGTAAATTTACATTTACTGAATTATTGCTGGTCACAGCACGGTGGCCAGAGATGAGAAGAAGTTTCCTCCATGTGCTGAGCTGTGTGTGCAGAGGGAGCTTCTTTAAATCCACAAGAAGGACCTCACGGGTGGTCATGGAATGGTAGAATTGGGTTGGAAGGGCCTTGAAGGTCATCAAGGGACAACTTCTGCTCTCCCAGGTGGCTTCAGCCTGGACTTGGGCAATCCCAGGGATGGGGCAGCCATGGAATCACCTCTGCCAGGGTCTCACCACCCTCACAGGGAAGAATTCCTTCCCAAAATCCCATCTAAACCTCCCTTCTGGCAATTTGAATCCATTACCCCTCGTCCTGTCACTCCAGACCCTTCTAGAAAGTCTTTCCCCGTGTTTCCTGTGGCCCCCTTTAGGTCCTGGAAGGCCACAATTAGGCCACCAAATCTTCTCCAGGCTGAAAAATCCCAGCCCCCTCAGCCTTTCACTTCCTATCCCCGGCACTGGGACTCCTTTGCTTCTGTTTAATTTATTGATATGTTAAACAGAAACAGAATTTGTGTCCATATTTTATAAGTAGCCTAAAACCCAACAAAAACGCTGCACCATAAATGTCATTATCTCCTTATGTCATCAGCAAAGCACAAAGCCACCTCCTGATTCAGGCAGATCCTTATCTCACAGGGACTTTCCCTCAACTGGGTCAGCTGCCAAAAGATCTCAGGGTGCGCATTTTCCTGTGGCAAAAAGGATTTCTTGAACATCGCCACGTTTAGAGATCTTCCGACCAGAAACAGAGGGAAGAAATGTGGTTTTTTTTATTTAAAAATGGCAAAAGCTGCTGCAGTGCCCAGCGTTGATTACCTAAAAAAATAAAATAAAAAAAGCAGTGAAAAATCTGGTTTTTATTTCATTGTCTCCGGAAAAATGGAATGACTCCCAGCTGAACCCAGAGCTCTCCCTGTGGTATCCAAATGACAGGCGGAGGGGATGTTCTACCTCCTGGCAGGACCTGAAAACCAGGGAGAAAATCTGTCTACCTCCTGGCAGGACCTGAAAACTAGTCAGAAAAATCTGTGGTGGAGAAGAGAAGGGTAAGAAAAGCTCGGGTTACAAAAGGAACCCTTAAGCTGGGTTTAAGCCGGGCTCTAATGGAGATCCTGTGGTGCTTCCGGAGGGAAGGGACAAAGGATCTGCGTGATGACACCGGATGGTGGCCGAGCCACCACCCTTGGGTCAAGGCAAGCCTTGAGTTGGTCATCAGATGTCACCCAGCAGAACCTTCCATGGGATGGCGGGAAAAGCTTAGAAATCTCGTGGAAATGGGAAAATCGTGTGTCCAGCTTTGGGACCCATCATGGCAAGGGGGACACTGAGGAGCTGGAGAATGTCCAGGGTTGGGAAAGGGAATGGAGAACCATGAGGAAGTTTGGGAGGCTCAGCCTGGAGAAAAGGGGGATCCAGAGGGAATTTCGGGCTCTTCCAGGTGGGATTTGGGATCTGAGCCCAGGGAACACGGCCAGGACAAGAGGGAACGTCCTCGAGCTGTGCCAGGGGAGGCTCAGGATGGGAAATTTGGGAAAATCCCTCCTGGAAAGGTTGGCCAGGCCTTGGAAGAGGCTCAGGGATTGGCCATCCCTGGAGGTGTCCGAGGAATTCCGGGACGTTGGTCTGGGTGAGAAGGTGGGGATTGGTCCCATGTTGAACTGGGTGATCATGGAGTTCTTTTCCAACTAAAATAATTCCGGGATTCCGTGGAACTCCAGGCAGTTTCGAGGAGGGACTTTCAACCTGTCCTCCAGAGAACCCGAGGCTCGCAGCTAACGCGTTTATCACACCTGGGTCACCCCGCGGTGACGAAAGAGTTTTGCTCAATATTTCTGTTTATGAGTCGATTCAAATTCTGACGCTGCGCGGAGCACGAAATTACAACCCGAAGATTTCTTTCATCTCAGCACTTTAATTGGCCGAGGTTCACGCCTGGTAACGTTCCATGAAATGCATTCGGGGTGACGGCGCAGATTCTGCTGCTTCATTAGCTGACATAATGATGCTGGCTCAGGTGTTAATCATCATTTTCATCTGCTTGAAGGTGCAAGATTTTTTCCCTTTCCTCTTCACCCGTGGCAGATAAAAAAATTTGATAAAAACCTCCATGCCATCCTTGTGAAATCAACAACTTTTGCGTGCAGTCGGGACTCAGATTTGGATAAAACCATCCAGAACTTTTCAGAGGAAATTACAGATATTTTTTAAGCCATCTGTGTTTTGTCTCCCAGACGTTCAGGCTACAAACAGAGAAAATGTGAATTAAAACATCAATGCTGAAGGAGAAACTCAGCCAAATGAATGAAAAATTAAATTAATTTCAAATCAACTGAAATCCCAAGATGAGAAGCCATGAGCTGGTGATGGGAACAGAAAGAATTCACTTGGACAATTATTTTTTTATTTATGTTTTATTTTTGATGTTTATTTTAAGGCTAATTTTAATTACGTTTCAAAATGCTGGGCTGTAAAACACAACCACATATTTATATTGCAACGATCACACCCCATTTCATGCGTAAACTCATTAAGGAGTGTTTGGGAAGTGCTTAAAAACACACCCCAAAAATATTTGGGGGGGAATTATTCCTGTAATCCCTTGGGGACATCCCGAAGTTTGGGGGAAAGAACATCCCAATTTCAGTGTAACTTTGGTAGAAATGTGTTTATTTAATAACCCAACCAACAGCAAATGAGGGGTTTTGAGTGATGTTCATCTGTGAAAAACGCACTGATATCCCTCCAGGAGAAAAAAACTTTGATTTAAGCCCCATTTTAGGTACTAAAATATGGTGTTTTCTGCATTGAGGAAAAATCCTTCCACCTCTCCGAGCATTCCATTGCAAAATTTGGGAGCAGTGACAAGAGTCAGAGCCCTTAAACCCAAATCTGTCCACGGCAGCAGGTTGGGCCTGCGATTAGAATCATTAGGGGAAGCTAATGAAGGAAATGCTCAGCAAATGGGATTTAATTCCCGCTGGGTGGGATGGAGCTGCCCCGTCAGGCTCCGAGATGAAAGGGAGCCGGGAGCTGGAATGTGCCGAGCGTGCTGGGCAGAGATTTTTTAGGGTGGTTTTGCAAAGCCAGGAGAGTTTCGTCACTCTGGGGAGTGATTCGGGCTCGTCGGAGGTGGCGGCTCGCCTGGTTCAGCCCCGGGGCATCCCAGGATTTGTATAAAAGCAGCAGCTCTGCGGAGCTTTTCCATCATTCTCCTGTTCTTCTCCTCTCCATCAGGTAAGTCCGATGCCTTTTCATTCCTCTCCCAGCTCCAGAATTCCTTTGCTCTTTTGATTTATTTTTTTTTATTCCAGTTGTAGATATTACATTAATTTTCAGGACTTTATTTTTCCTTTCTTCTTCTTTTTAGTCTTTAAATTTTCATTTATTTTTTTTTGTAATATCCTGGCAAGTATTTTACTGCAAGGCTTTAGGAGCCAAACCCAGGGTTTGAGGCATTTTTTATTTAGGAACTATTTTTCCCCCTTTTTATAGATATTTTATATATCTATATATTTATATATTTTATTTTTATAGATATGAGTATAAAAATACTTAGTTATTTGGTTATTTTCACCACAGCCAAAAGGGAGGAAAGCAGACTCATGCTCTG